AATATATAAAAAAAATTTATTAATAATATTTAAATCATTTCACAATATAATTTGGATATTTTAAATGCAAAAAAACATAATTTTTACTTTTCTATTTAAAATTCTTGAAAATCCTGATTTTTTTTTTTTCTCATTTGAAATGACATGAAGATCTGATTCTCTATTGATTTTCATCTTTTGCCATTCCACTGTTGATTAAAGTTTTGCAAGGCTTCAACTAAAAATATACTTCTGCGAGCACTTGATCCATTGGGTCGAATGAGTGACCCTTATCATTTTATTAAAGTGAAGTTTTCCCCTTTCCTTTGAGACTGAATTCAAGTCTCCAACATACCTTGTTCAATATATATATATATATATATATATACACTTGTGGGGGTCCTTGAGTTAAGCCCACTAACCCGTGTCAAAATTGGCCATTAACCTCTAATGGCCGTCCTGTTTATTGAAGTTTATATATGCATGATCTCCTTCTCTTCACTTGCCCATAGACATGATGGTCAACCTTGATACTAGTTGAATGGAACGTTCGAAAACCCTCAACTCACAAGTTTGCTATTATTGTAAAAGAGAAGGCTATGGAATTGGAAACCCCACACTTGCATCTTATATTTTCAACATGGGATCTAAGACACCATGCAATTAGTCCCAGAGACCAATTAAATGTCCACATCTAGTATGTGATCAATGAAAATTTAACCCGAAATTTAGAAAGAAATGAAGAAAATATAATGAAAATAATAAAGTTACAATGTTTAATATTATAAATTTATAATTATAATATGTTATTATAATATGTATTATGTAATTATTTTTTTTAATTTAAAAATCCACTTTTTTTAATAACTCTGTCATAATTGTATACATTTACAATTTTTTTATTGCATTATAACCATATCTATCAATTGCCAAAAACAGGAAAGGAAAAGAAAAAAAATTCAATTAACGAATTATCTCACCTTAAAATAGAAAGTTAAAACAAGTCATTTTCCTGAAAAAAAAATTTCGAGCTAGAGTCAGACTTGACCAAAAAATAGAACTTGAAACTTTAATGGCTAAACACATCTTCTATGAAATAAAAAGAATAAAAGAGTTTCATCCTCTCATTTCCAGCTAAAGTTCCTTTTACATTTTCTAGAACTGCAATGGCTATTATTAGTAGCCATCTAATCTGTCCCAGGGATTAAAATTAGCAGAGGCAGGATCTCTCATTTTCAGATTGGGAACAGACCGCGGGTAATAAGGAATGTTGTTCTGGTAATTATTAGGCATAAACATGCTGTGATCAATGACTGGGGCAGAAATGGCAACATTTTGCCTGTTAAGAAAACCTCCTGAACTATTTAAATTCTGACCAGGTTGAAGAACTTGGGCCATTCTGATCCCAGATATCTCCCCATAGGGGGCACCCCCATTGTTGTGCATGACAGGGATCCCTCCATTATATTGATTAACAAATGGGTCCATTGAATGTAACCTTTCTGAAGAATGCATGTGGTGATCATGGTATTCATAGCCTGGAAAGATTGATACTTCAGCACCTTGATGAGGATAATTGGCTGCCAAAATATTGTTCCCATAAGCAGTTGAATTCATCACTTGACCATTGTTTCCAAAATTGTTCATCCCTTGAATATCATTTGAATAATTCTCCATGATTCGAATGCCATCTGCATAGTTGTTTGTGAACTGAACATTGCAGTCCCTGAAACTGTTTCCCGTTAATCTGGAACTATCTGGGAAAGTGTTCATTCCTGATTCCAGGTACAGGATCCTTGGATCTTCACCTGCTTGGACGTTGATGCCCCCAATGCACCCATCTATGTTATATCAATACACATTAGAAATTAAGGTAGAAGAAAGCAAAGAACTAATGCACATTTCCCAAATTTACAGAAAGAAAAAGGAAGGATTTTGGATAGAATAGCAATACCTGATACTTGTAACGGAAGGGTCGTGGTCTGTTGCATACTAAGACCAGAATTCATGACTGGTAGCCTTTGTGCATGATCGGAGGGGGAAATGGTTTGAAATTGATCATTGGAATTGGTAATCTGTGGCCTTGACTCAAAAAAAGGAGAATCTAGGCTTGGAAAGTCATGATTCCTTAGATTGTACAAGCGTTCGTCACATTGTAGAAGCCTTGAAAGGTCTTTGAAAAGATCTCCAGGAGCACATATTATTTTATGCCTCCTAAGGACCAAGGCCACAAGTTAGATGTACAATCTTTACTGGCAAATAAAATCTATATAAACAAGTACAGTCCAATATTTACAATAACATAGACAAAGTATAACCAGAAAAATTAATTAAATTTAAAAATAAAAAATGAATTCTAAAGCAAGAGACAGAAAAACCTATTTGTCAGGGCTTCTCCATTAGTGAAATCCTGTGTAGCCCTCCATTGAGTATGGGATCTTGGGTGTGATCTCGGCTCATGAAAGAATTGAGGAGGTCGGCTTAACTGCAAAATATTTCAGCTCATGCTTTTTAAGTTTCGAAAAAGTGTAATGCATTACAAATTGTATGAGAGTGGACCCTTTGATATTGGAGTCTTTTCTTTATCTAGTCACTATTTTATAGTATAATGCAGTCCAGACAATAAAATAAGATTCTTTTTAAGTTTTAACTTCCTATTATCTAATAAAAAAATGTATAATGCAATCTGCAACTTAAACCATTAAATGGAATAGACTCTTAATATTGAAAACTATCACTTCCCATCGAATGGTTCTTGTTTAGCAAGAGATCGCAAAACAGGAAACTCTTATCAATTTATATGGGAGTTGGAGAAGCTAATTCTACTACAGAGAAAAGTACATATTGAAAGAAGTATATAGCTAACCTCCACTTCCAGAACCTCAGTACCATCAGCTTGATAGTAAGCTTTAAAGGCAGCGATATCGGCCCACTGAATTTCAATCTTGTTCTTCAAACGATCGTACATTATCTCCCATATCAGCCTTCTCTTTGCATAATAGATCTTAACCACCAAGTCATTTGGTACTTCAGCTATTTTCTGCACATAATTCAGCCACATACATTGCAGAAATCCTTCATTTTTCTCCATGATTAAGCCTATGCAAAATAATTAAGGTAAATTATTTTTTTTTATGGTTTTAATTTCTTACCATAAATGATCCTATTATAAGTGCCTTGGCCTGATTGTTGGCAGCTTTCCACTTTTCCGATGGGGGCTGCGGTGAAAAATTGCTTGTAGATGTTGATGCAAAATTGACATTTGCAGAAGCTGAGTGGCCATATTCATGTTCTACAGATAATGCTGTGTTTATCTGATCTAACAGTTGGGATGTTATTGCAAGTTTCAAGTCAAGAGTAGGAGAAGGATTACCTTTCAAAAAAGAATCATAAAATTCCTGCAACAAAGAAGAATGCACTATTTTCATATCAACCATCTTCTCCTCCATAACTTGCAAACTCGCATCAAACATTTAGCCAAAACTTTGAAACCAATCATCAAGAACAATTCTTTCAAAAAAAATTGAGGTAGCCAAACTTAGAATGCAGGAAAAGCAGTCATTCCCACCGAAGCCCATTATCAATAACAATTGCTTCTCAAGAACGAAAAGAAACAAACAACAGAAAAAAAGAAAGAAGAAGAAGAAGAAAAAGAAGAAGAACTGAAGATAATAATACCCGAAAGACTGGATCTTTCAGAAGAACAGAGTCTTCATCTTCCTTTTTTGAGTTTTGGGCGCCATTAACAGGAAGAGAACAACTTGCTTTATCATCCTCTGACCTTACAATCGATTTCATACCTTCATTATCTTCTTTACACCCAATATCTCCTCCTTCCATGATAGACAATGAATCTATGCCTATAAGTTGGTATTACGTAAGTTGAAAGAAATGCAGTGAAAGAAGAAATTTATATAACAGAGAAGAGGGAGCCAAGAGAGCATCTTTTTATTTTTCACAAGACTCCTTTCAGTTTTTAAAACCGCGATTCCTACATACTTACGAGTTTAAGGGTGACAAGGGTTAGTACTCCACGGTACTTCTACGACCAAAGGGTTACTTTCAGGGGGTTTGATTGGGAGTCTTTCTCCTTCAAAGCTTTTTAAATTTTTTTAATAAGATTATTTATATATTTTTA